TAAAACCCACAATCAGGAATTAAGATGGAGATTTGAAGCAACCAAACTGAAGATTTACAGATCCAGATTCAAGATTCATTATTCAAGTCAGAAATCAATTGATTAAGGTATGTTCCGCGTTAATTCAGTTTCTTGATGGTTTGACATGAAGATCTTGGCAAGATCATAAAGTTTAAGTTTTAATAAAGTTTTAACAGTAACTTCTTGTTTATTATATCATCGAGTCCCTCCATTGCACCAAAATGCACAAGTTACCACTAGTTGAGCATGCACGGATCTTATTTTAGTACAACAAATAGAATTTTAATTAAATTGACATCCAAAAATGTGATTATTAAAATAAATTCCAGCAGTGATCTTATGTATATAGGGATCATCAGAGTTTCAAGTTGGTCAAGTGAAGTAGACATTTATCTTCTCCCACCAACCTATATACACGTCATGGGGTGAATCAACCCAGATATGGGCACCCATCCATTTCCAACATAACCCATTAAAATATTTTGAGGATTGAGGGACTATGTCTGATTGTTCTAGGATAAAGGCCAAAAAGTCTGCATTTTTTATATGAAACTAAGCAAAAGGCCTTATTTTGTTGAAGAATCAGAAAAAATGGCTGTGCTATCCTCTAAATCCAATCCCATTCCTTTACTCACTCCTTACAAAATGGGAGAGTTTGAACTATCTCACAGGTTTGTAATGTTCTCTTCTCAATGTGCATTTGTTTTAGCCCATTAACTTTTAGTTCGAGATTCTCATACGTCTTTTATAGAAGCAGGATAATTTTACTCTTCTTTTGATTTATACCGCACTTTCTTAATGATTCGTCAGTCCCCTTTTCTTTACTTAATTTACAGTTTATCAAGATATTGTTACTTAATGCAGAATTGTTTTAGCACCATTAACCAGAAGCAGATCTTACAACAATGTTCCACAGCGACACGCGGCGCTGTATTACTCTCAGCGCGCAACGAATGGCGGTTTTCTTATTACTGAAGCCACTGCAGTTTCTAATACTGCTCTGGGGTATGCACATTAATGATCATAATATTCCCCTTGTAATACTTTTTGGTAGAACAATCAGATAACACGGAAAAAGTAAGTTGGAATCGAGATTTGTAACATTTGAACACGAGGCATCATAGTTCATCTGCTGCTTGATTCAAATCGGGATTCAGCTCTTATGTCGAAACCAGGTCATTCGTCGTGCTAGAAGTCTAGAAAGATTAAAGCGTTGACGATGATTAACGATTTGTGAATTAGTTTAAATCGATAAGCTCAATCACCGTTCTTTTTAAATAAGAGCAGCAAACTCTCAACTTTTTTTTTCTTTTGCTAGTTGATACTAAGAATTTTCCCTGGATATGAGGTTAACAGATGTCTTCTATTCCTTGGTTTTTCTTATTTTTTATTTAAATCCTATTTTCTTTGATTATTACGAGGTGATCTAGTGATTTTGAAAAACATTAATTGGTAAAGGTACCCAAATACTCCTGGAATTTGGACAAAGGAGCATGTGGAGGCATGGAAACCAATTGTGGATGCTGTTCATGAGAAGGGTAGCATATTTTTCCTGCAAATTTGGCATGCGGGCCGTGCCTCTAATACTGGTTAGTGAAACTCATTACGTGCATGTCTGGTGGGGATTAAAATCTATATTAAAGTCAATAATTAATTTTAATCACATATTTTATGGGAATCACAACTTTTCAACCTCATATTTCATTAATTTTTATCAAAATTTACTAAAAATCTGATTTTAATCCCGCTAAATCGATGTTATTTTACTGATAGCAGTGTAACAATATTTGTTTTTGAATTAGGTTTTCAGCCAAATGGCCAAGACCCAGCCTCGTGTACGGACAAGGCAATTACGCCTGGCCGTGAAGGAGGTGATTGGTCTCCTCCCAGACGACTTAGGACCGATGAGATCCCTAGCTTTGTTAACGATTTCAGGTTGGCAGCTCGTAATGCTATTGAAGCAGGTTAGTATACTGTGTACTTTTCTATACTTTTAGTTCGTGCTTGAACCTCATTCTCTAAAAATTCATTTTTATTCACTCATTTTTTACCGCACATTATCTCAATAAAATAATTTCACATACAAATTAAAAAAAAAAAAAAA